AGCCTTTTAATACGTGTTCCAAGTAAATTTTCAACCAGTTGTTTGAATTTAATGAAAATAGAGAACACTTCAGATTTGAGAGCTAAAGGAAACAACCAAATATATTTGTTAAAATCATCAAGAAAAGTTACATAGTACTTGTCTCCTACTGTAGATAAAGAAGGGGAAAGACCCCATACATCTGAATAAACCAAAGAGAGAGGGGATTTACTTAAAACATGAGATGTTGGGAATGGCAGCTTGTGACCTTGCCTAGTGGACATGCAGGACACATTGAGGATGGCTGATTATTGGACTTTGGTAATTGGAAACGAGAGATGACATTATGAATTGTACGCATTGATGGATGCCCGAGTCGATTATGCCAGAGAGTAATGGAACCTCATTCACCAACAAACGCTGTTTTATTTGAGCTACTAAATGAAAGAGAAGAACTAGATGGGAAATGGTAGAGTCCACCATCACATTTGCCTCGTAACAGAATCGTCCCCGTTGCTTGGTCCTTCACACAAAAGAAAGTGGGATCAAATTCAACATAAACATTGTTATCTTTTGTAAGTTTAGAAATTGAAAGAAGATTACGGTGGATAGAGGGAACAAATAGAACATTAGATAGAGATAAAGGTTTAGTCGACGTGGAAATGTGAGAAGAACCAATACGAGATATTCGCAAACCTGAGCCATCTCCAATGGTCACGTGGTCCTGGTCAGTGTATTCATGGGGTAAAGTCAGATTTTGAAACTCATTTGTCATATGGTGGGTTGCGCCAGTATCTGGAAGCCATGAACTTGGAGGAGTTGCTTTGGCAACATTATAGGAAGCGAAATGAGAAGTTCCTTCTGGCTGGTAGCTGTGATTGAACCTGTTTGGACAATTCAATGCAGTATGACCTGAAAGGTTACAAACTTGGCAAACCAAAGACGGATTGCGAGCGACATTTTGATTTGAAGAACCATTTTGATAGCGAGTATTGCTGCTAGAAGAGTATGAGTTATAAAAACTCTTTCCTCCACTTCCACCTCGAAAATTGTTGCGACCACGGCCTCGGCCACGTCCTCTATGAGAAGAACGCTGTGAATAGGTGCTAAGGTTTGCAGACACATTGATATCTTGATTAAATGATTGCTCTTCGTTCAAATAAATTTCTTGACTCAAGAGCATACCTCGAAGATCAACAAAAGAGACTAGTGCAGCTCTAGTGTTTATAATGGTAACAAATGCAGCATATTCTGGACCAAGACCTCTCAGCACATGAAGAATAAGATCTTCGTTATCAACTCGCCTTCCTACTGCACCAAGTTGGTCAGAGATTGCTTTCATCTTGAGAAGGTACTCTGACATTGAGAGAGAACCCTTCTTCTGATGTTGGAGTTGTTGTTTCAGCTGCATAATGTGAATTCCCGAGAGATTGCAATAAGTGCCTTCAAGAGAAACCCAAGCATCATAAGCATTGTTGATTCCGACAATTTGGAGAAGAATTGAGTCCGTCAAGGAAAGAATGATCCAACTTAGAAGTAATTGGTCCTTTTCAAACCACTTGCTGTACTCTGGATTAATTGTTTTGGAGGCACGATCTTCATCTGATAAATACTGCGCTGGACAAGAAGAAGGGTTGGTGACATGATCAAGGAGTTTTTAGGCCCTGAGTAAGGGAAGAAATTGAGTTTTCCAGTGAAGGTAGTTTGTATTAGTTAACTTAATAGAGAGATAGGGTTGTACATTGGGAACAATGGAGTTGGTGGGATTTTGGGGTTCGGAGGAAGCACTTTGAGAAGTCTAACTAGAAGAATTTTCAGGATTTGTCACGGTTAGAGAACTTGGCTCTGATACCATATTAAGACAAGGAGAATGAAGAATATGGATGTGAAGAATTCGTATGATTTTCTTATTTTTGGAGATTGCACAGCAGGTCTATTTATACTATTGTTTACATTTGAATTGGCATAACTATAGGAGTTTGTTATAGTGAATTGGCATATCTATAGGAGAAGATTTGGTTGTCCAGCTTTCCTCATTGACTGGTGAATTGGCATATCTATAGGAAAAGATTTAGCTGTCCAGCTTTCCTCATTGATTGGTCCATCGTGTGATGATCTGTATACCTTAACAATTTTCATTGCTGATGTGGCCGTTCAATTCCTAGTGCATTTCTTCTTTATACTTGATAGATGTTATCATCATGGGTTGTATACTTTTTGTCAAATTTTCAGACTGTGAACCTAAATAACAAAGATATTAGGATCCGTTTGATTGTAAAGATGAGAAAGACAAACAAATTCCATGTAAATTGGAAAAGAAAAACCACAAAAACCATAGAAATGCATGTTCATGGAACTGGCCAAAAACATGCTTTAAGTATTTGTACCTTTAAATTTGAACTCCATTTTCACTTTCGTGTTAAACAGTCAAAGTAGAAAACAAATTCTTCGGATGTGACATTTTCCATGGAATTCACTCCAATCAAATGGACCCTTAGAGATATACCTGGATTGGCTCCACAGCTACCACTTGAAAACTTCTTTGGACTGCTGATTGAAGATCATTGCAATCAAATTACTAATGTTCCAAATTAACATGGTTTGGGATTGTATGCATTATTTCGGTAGTAAACTTCCTGGTGGCGTCTCCAATTTTACCAGCAGAATGATTCGATGAAGCCATCCAATTTTGTGTCAAGTCAAATAATTGAACTGGGAATTGCTCGTTATGATTCTCTCCACTTGGTGTCAAGATTAAGATATTTTATATTTGGGTAACGATAATTTGTTTATTACTATTAACACATCCTTACTTTTATTTTGTATGCTCTATGACTTGGCTTGCATTCAGCCTAGGAGGACAGACTGGATTGGATCGGCTCTTCCGTTTTGATAATCCTACTTTTATATGAACTATGTATCGTCCCTATTTGGTGTTCCATCATCTCTATGCTTTTGAGATGCCGAGCTACGCCTACGATCCCATGATAATTTACTCATTCAAGAGAAACTACTAATACATTTGTAAGGTGGATAAAAATATAAGAATAACTCCAACTTACTTCATCCAATAAGGACAAAATTATTTACATTATAAATTATATTGTTTATTAAAAATTAATAATATATTTAGAAAAATGTATAAATAAAAATAGCATTTATGCCCCTAAAATTAGTCTACTAGGTTTTAGTGAACTGACCAATATGTTCTCTTCAAACGCAATTTTTTACATACCGTGGCATTTTTACATGCTAGTGGGATGTAATAGCGATTTCTTTGCTTTTCTCTACTTTTCTTTTTCTATCTTTTTCACTCATAAATCACTTGCGAGCAACTTAGAAGGTTAAGGTTGTTGAAGAATATGTTAATTTGATCATGTTTCTAATTTGATTTACAACTATCAGATCAATTACTCACCCGATTGGTGCAAATTTCTTGCATGTGGTAGAAATTCGAATCCCAACATATATGTATATCAAGTTCATCTATAAATCCAAGTTGCCCAATCCTACATAAATTTAGTTCATAGCATCACGCTTATATGTTCCTTTTCGCTAAATGAAGCATCAATGCCTTCATTTCAAGTTATGGAGTACTCGTTTGCGGTCAAGCTTTGACATTGAGCTCATGCATCCACAGCTCAGATTTGTCATCAGGCCCGAGTAACGAAAGTTCAGATTCGTGCTCCAACTTTATCTCTGGCTCGGGTGAAAATCCTAGTCGTGCTCATTTCTTTTAGTAAAACTTAGGTAATTACAAGTGTAGATTTTTTTTAGCATCATCAATGCATTATGGGAAAAGTGCTACCAAAAGTTATGGTTAATACACATTCAGGGCCTCCTCAAACAAGTTAATCCGCTCAAGCTCAGCCTCATATCGAAGATCCTCCAATGGTGCTACCGGAGGTACTAGCACCTCAACCTTCAGTTTTTACTCCGACGGCATTTGAAGAGCTCCGACAAGAAGTTGTTACATTGAATCAACTATTGGGACGACAAAATTTGCCTCTAGTGTTGACACCTGAGCTCAATGACATAATCAAGGCTCGACCTCGATCCCTTCATCCTGAATCCAATAATGGTGGTGTGGGGTCCTTGGGTACACCTCGACCTCTCTTCATGACCTGGGCTATCACCATGATCCCCAAGGAACTCATGAAAATCATCCAAGGTGGAATAACTATTGGCCTACGTTGGAGAACTCAAGGCTTGACAAGTTTCAACATGAGCACTCATTTCAACCCTCGAGATTATGTCATATCTGCTGCCAAATAGGTTTAAGTATCCTCGAATAAGGGAGTATGATCGAACCATGATCGGATCAATCACTTCAATATATATACGGACATCAAGAATATATTAGTCACTTCAGATTCAATAATATGCAAAGCCTTTCCGCAAATTCTGACAAACACCGCTAAGAATGTTCTCTACCCTGGAACCCATTTCTATCCGTAAATTCTCAAATCCAGCCATCAAGTTCAGCCTAACGCCTTGCCTTGTGCAAGCTGTCAAAGCTTTACCCTGCACAAGCATCTCAAGCCTTATCATATCTCGTGCAAGCTCTCAAAGCTTTACCCCACAAGCATCTCAAGCCTTATCATATCTCGTGCAAGCTCTCAAAGCTTTACCCTTCACAAGCATCTCAAGCCTTATCATACCTCAAGCCTTGCTCCACTCAAGCATTCAAATCCTTGCCCCACACAAGCACTCAAAGTCTTGCCCCGTGCAACCACCTCAACCTTTGCCCCGTACAAATACAACTCAGCCCTTTAACCCAAGCACGGGACTGAAGACACATTTCCCGAGTAGAATACTTGATTAAACCAGAATTACACGATTGCGTAATTCATTTCCTAGAGCACGTTGATCTCACGACCCTCGACCATGAAGAACTCATACATCAGGATTCATTATCATGACTTCCTTGGGATTGGTAGTTTACTTAACGTCGAGGTTCATTAATTATGTGACATCAGGATTGTTTCATTGTGTACGTCGAGACAATCACTCACAATACATAAAAGACAATATGGTCTGACAAAATTCTCATTCATAAACTTGAAACTTTTACATAGCCATTTTTTTGTTACAAAAAGGAGCTCGGGGGTAAAACTTAAACTAGGGGGCTCGGGGGCCTTTACAAACCCTCTAGGCCATTCTCGACATTGTCTTCATTGATGCATGCCACGTGTCACCCATCAATGTCATAGGTCATCAAACACCATTTACATAAGGTACAAAGATCCTTGAGTACACTTCGCTCAAATCTTGAGGCCTCTGGTTTTCACCTCGAAATCTAGCAACCTTCACCTCGACCTCTATCAATTTACATATTGGTGATCTCGAGCATCCTTCACCTCAACCTTAGTCTGCACTCATCCCTGAGCAATCTGCATCTCATCCTAAAACCTGAGCATTATAAACAACATCCTTCAGTCTCGAACATAGATGGGAGCCATTGAAGTGTAAAATTCATTTACTACTCAACCACCCACAACTCGGGGCTCAAGGTCATAATAACTTCAAGCACTCTCTTTAGGAAAGAATATCCTCGAGATCAAGTTGTCAGGCTCAATACTCGAGCTATTCAACCTGATATTCGCAGGCCTATCCCATTAGGACGGGGATTATTGCCTAACCGAGCAAACAGAGCAATGGTCATTGCCCCCAAAGCGAAGTGGGTATGAGAAACACAGTCCTCATCTTGCTATCCACCTCATTTAAAGTTAATTTCAAATTTAATTTTTTTATCAAACAAAAGTAAAAGATTTATCAATTTTTAAAAGAACAAGAGTTGTTTTTAACAATAATAATAATAATCACTAACTAAAGACATAAAAAAATAAAAGCAAAAATTACAATACACAAAATAAATAAATAAATAAACGGAGAAGTGGATCTATCCCAAACCACTTTAACTGGGTATTAGGGCAGGGCAAAGTGATAAAAATATTAGACGAGGCAGATGACGAGAATGGCCGACCCATCCCATATTCGTCTCGTTGACATCCCTATTCAGGTTTGAGGTCTTTGGACATCTCATGTCCCTTCCTACCCCCCTTTGTCTATATATAAGTTTCCCTAATCTAGAATGACTCAACTACCACAGTTTTTGTGCCATCCAACTATAACAGTCTTACAGTTTCAAAAAAACTCTAATGCCAGCTTTTACAAAACTATCACCTCTTTCAAGACTTTTAAACATAGAACGCATTCAAGTTATCCAATCCTACTAGAATTGCACTGCCTAACTCTATAAATATACAAGTATTCGACTCATTACTTAGGTACACTTTAAATTGATTTAGTTAATAAGCTCATGCTTATATTTTTCCTTTCACTAACTTAAGCATCGAAGAGACAACCAGGACACACCCCGATGCCTTTATTTTAGGTTCTAGAGGTCTCATTCATGCTCAAACTTTGTCATCTAGCTCGGGTATCCATAGCTCAAGCTTTGTCATCGGGCTTGGGTTACAAAACTTTTGTTCTTACTCAAACTTTGTCATTGGGCTCAGGTTACGAAAGTCATGTTTGTGCTTATTCCCAATCATCAAGCTCAAGTATTCACAGGTGCAATTTTTTATAGGATCACTTAATATATCTCGATTGTAACAATTAAGGCCACAAAACCGTAATACAATGACATGTATAACCATTAACAAAACCTCAATGGAAGGTTCAATATTTCCATCCTCACTTTTAGGTTGAATGAGGAAGTTTTACATCATATGAACAGGTGCATAGCAAATATAATTTACATAAGGATAAACATGCAAATCACAAAGAATTATCATGCAGTAATATTAACCAAACTTACATAGGTTCAGTTAAATATTAAATGTACACAAGTTCAATGAATAATTGGAGCACTTCCAACCCAACTATGTTATATCTACACTATGCCTGAATTGTTAGCACGCATACTATTTGCCAGGCTTGATTGCAAGGGCGTGTCGCTAGTGTATTCGTGCATACATTCACAATTATCGAAAATACACAAGGTCACAAGACATTTGGGTCCATGATAGTTTGTTCAGCCATAACAAAAATCACAACTTCAAATATTGTTACATAGTACATCAAAGCAAAAGGATTCCAATTTCGCGTCTTAAATGAAATGAACGAACTATAATTGCAGTATTTTATGAATTCGATAGTTGCTATTTAATCGTTTGTCACGGGAAAACAGATCAAATGTATAAAATTAGAGCCTCAATAAATACGGCATTTGATATTCAGTGACATAATTTTCCAGTAAATGGGACTTACAGCAGCCACCATTGAGGCACAAATTTAACAATCTGCAACTGGAAAAGCAGATCCAATCTTGTTTCCAAGACGATAGCACTTGATATTTACAGGGTACGGGCCAAGTTCAACATGGTTTTCTTCCCTCCCCAAATAGAAACATAGGGTATAGATTGCAACTTCAAACTCAGGGCTCACTCCAATCAAAGTGCTTGAGACTGACTTCAGAACACCATCCCATTCAAACTGAATTGTAAGTAACTGTGTCTCCGTGTCAGGCTGCAATACAAGACAAATAACAAAAGGAAGAGAGCATTTAATGTACGTTCTTATAAGATAATTTATCAAATAGAAGATAAGATCATTGTTATAAATACGTCAAAGATTTTACAAATTTAAATGTGACCCTCACCCCCATCCCCACCCCAAAAAAACTACATCTTCAATTTCTTCCAAGCAAGTATGAATTTAAAACACGAATGTTTGTCCACAAATAGGGGTTATAACTAGGGGTGCATATTATTAAATTTGTATACGTATATGAATTAAGTCAAGAGAGTAATCCAGAAACAAAGCAAAAGGCTAAACGATTCAACATAATTGCATGAAAGCACTACACAAGAAAGATGTAAATTGTACTTCAGATTCCTTGCAGGAGTATCTTATGGTGATGCTTCTCCAATTGCTACATCTCATTTTGTACTTTTTAGTTTCCCTAAATATTTATCTAACTTCACCTTGAAATAATGGACTTCTGCATGGAAATCTAAACTCTGATTGTGACTCTTGTTCACCAAATTACGCTACATAATTCAAATAATCTAGTTACAGGAATTGATAGCGTGATCCTTTTAATATTAAGAAGTAAATAGTCTCTCAACTTCAAAATGCCAACGTAGAACCTTATATTTTAACTATATGATTAAGTCCTCACAGGTTATTATTGTTTATATACAGTCTGTTTCCTAACATTTCATCCAAGTTGAACTGCCATGGGACTAACTAGGATGGCAAGGCCTCCTTATATATTGGAGCTAACTGTTACCCCCATAAAGATTTATGACACCACTACCCTAAGTATTTGGATGCCAAGGTTTGAGTGGAGTAAGTTTTATGTGTATATATTTGTAAATATGGCGCAATGGTGGTGGTCTGGCTAGTATACATACTAACTTCGATAAAGAATTTGATGCCATTACCCTAGTATCTGGATACTGCTTTATTATTATTATTATTATTATTATTATTATTATTATTATTATTATTATTATTATTATTATTATTATTATTTTTAGTCAAACCATCATTGCCCAGGCGAGAGTTTTAGACCTCAGCCCAGGGGTTGATGGAGGGTTCATGATGGAGATCCAATTAGATATATTGTTTGAAGACCTTCCATGTTTAGATTTTTATGGAAAAGTAATTAGGGTTTATTTCATAGAGTTCTAGTATTCTATTAGATGTTTCTTACTCAAATTAGAATAGTTTAATCCTTGTATAAAGGGACTTATACATTGTAATAGTCGATTACTGAAGAAAATTATATTTCTCTCCTCCAATTCCTGCATCTATCATCTGGTTCTTCTCCCCTTTCTATCTCCCTCTCCTCCTCCTTCCCTCCTTTCCCCCTTCTCCTCTTCCCCTGTTTCCCCTTCTATAATTTTGGTTCTTGTTCATTGCGTTGTACGACAGTATGCCATTTTCCCTTACCTTGTATATTAATTGAAAGAATTAGAACTTAGGGAGGGTGAAATTCCAACCTTACCTCTAGAAGTACAGAAGTAATGGGCAGTGTAGTCTCATGTATATATCTCTGTAAATATGGGTGAAAGTGTGGCTTGTCTAGTATACACACTTGCATGCCGGTATTTGAACGTATGTAGAAACTATCAGGGTTTGTTCCTAGTGGAGTTTGTATCCGAAAAATTCTTAGCATCGTATTTTTGGCTTGAGCCGGTTGTACATTGGTAATTTCACTATATTGTTGTGATGGTTTTGACCAAGTTCTACTGTGCCACACTATTTTCAGTAAATGTCCAAAAATGTTTATAAGATAGATACATGAACACACACATACTTAGAAAGGGTCTTCACATGCATGCTGCACAAACATTCACAGAGAAAATGGGTAAAGGTAGAAAGCAAAGCAGGAGATAACATATTTGAAACGAAAGTTAACGTGTTACTGAATATCTAAATAAATGGGAAAATTGGTAAATAAAGTGATAGGCATGCTCCACATATTGAGGAATGAAAATGAACCTAGGGATATATGGTATGATACCGTATCTGACCACGGAGAAAATAGAATCTTAGGGAAATATCCTATTTTCACTTTCCATGTTCTCTACGTTCTCAGCAAACAAATCCAGCTACATTAAAGTAAAATTACTTACAATTGACCCATGCCTCCGCGGAAGAATGTATCCTTGATAATTCACCCTCCCCTTTGCCTCTTCCAAATAGAACTGCAGGAAATTAAGGTGCTCTTATTCCCATAGCAAAGGGTTTTGAGATTTTGTGAATGACAGGTAATTTACACAGTGAAAACAAATAACGAAAGGCAACTTGCTTGGAGCTACATCTAATTTCCAACTGACATACAATTGTCGGTGGTGCCAGGAAAAACATAGAAATGCAAGTCAAATTTAGGCAGTAACTGAATCGACTTCAAGACATACAGATTATGTACATGTAAAGTATGTGTTAATATGACATAGAATAGGGGGTAAAATTTCAACTTCTAAATCAACCTTTGACTAAATTTTTTCTCCTTTGACACAATTTAAATACAAGTCCATTTTGTCTTTGTTTTTAATATTGAAAATTCCAAAACTAAATCTTCAAAAAAAGCGACCTCTTAGTTTTATTCTTTCTTCCTTGTCCTCAATGGACAAATGAGATAAATGCAGTAACTTAGAATCTTTCAGTAACAAGAATCATATAGGGATACGATCTTTACATGTATAAGTTTCGTGTGGAGTGCAGCTGGGATTTTCACCAAATAGAGATTAAAATCAAAAATTAAATAAGCACCTGAAGCCAGTTATGAAATCCTGAAACTTCTTGTTCTCCATGTTGCTTGATTTCTCCAACAAAAACATGTTCGAAAGCAGAAGAAGAACCGGATGTACCACCTCGACCATAAAGATCAAACCAGAGGCTTGTCATCATCCTCTTAAAATCTTGATAATTCTCAGATACAATGCCCTTGGAAGAAAGATATCTGTGGAGATATTTGATTGGTGCAGTTCTACTGATCTCTTCGATAAATGCTGCTTGCTCTTGTCTCTCTTCAGGTGTTACATTTTCTTTATACCCTTCATGTGGATTATAGTTGTCCAGAAGAGAGCAGAAACGTGCAAAGGTGGGCCTCATAAATATTTCTTCACTCAACCAGGAAAACAGGCTCCCTTCTGCCATATCTTCCTTCTGGTAAACCTTCTTCCCTTCACCACAATCAATCTGATAGTCCTTGCCAGGTACCAAGCGGTTTAAGTCAAGTTCCCAGAGTTTGTTAAGAGCTTTTGAGAGATCATTAAGCTCTTCTCCAGAAGGTTCAATGCCAAAATCATACTTAACCTCACTAGAATAGTCTTGCTCATCAAGGGGACGTTTATAATTCTTCCACTGATCCTTGTGTGCCTGTAACAGTATGTTTCATGTATGGACCAGAAGAATAAGCTAGAAACACAAGTATAAGTTTGGACAATAAAAAACAAGTTTCAACATCTTATTTCTTTCATGTATTACAGGCAATAAAATCAGAGGATTCACAATGACAAAGAAAAGGCTGTCAGTACAGTACACATCTCATGATAGAAGCACTTGCAAACACTGGGACACAAAATTGGCACTAAATGCATTAGATTAGTCATGCTAATGTGATATATATAAATAGCCAGAAGTATGATATTGATATATTGTTTTCATCTATATACCATAAGTAGCTAATTACCAAGTTGCACCGAAAATTTGTACGACTTCAGTAAAATATATCTAGATATTACACATTATGAGAAATTAAGGGGGAAAAAAAAAAAGAGAGTCAAAAGAAACCAGAGACATGATAAGAGAAAGAACTAGAATCATGTTACTTGAAGAAACTTATAACTACCTATCCAATAGAAAACAAACTCTGATTAGAAGTCAATATCAAGCAGCTTAATCTGGGGAAGTGCCTTGATGCATGTTACGAAGAAGTGTTATCATAGAAGTTTACATGTAAGATTCGTTGTGAAATGTAATACTTCTTCCTAATGAATCTAATACGCAACTGGACTCAACGGCACCAACCACATGTCAAACTCAATGGAACGCAAAAATTAATCAAGACTGATAAAGAAAAACAACAAATAATTATCAGTACACCCGTTAGTCGTAAAGAAACCTTATAATGCTGTTTCACAGGCTTTTTGCCTACTGTCTCCCAACCATCATCAGCCTCCTTTCCCTCCTGTAAATAATCCACCCAAAAATTTTATGTTTGGCAGAAAAATTAAATGATCAGAAGTAATATGAAAATCAATGAAAACAAACCTTTTGGTTCCAATTGACTTGGTTATAATTATCTTGCCTTCTGTCATCATCTCTATCATAATCCTGATGCACAGCCTGAATTTCACGAGTTTAACACACTGCTGAGTACATTAAGGCAGAAAAAGGGCACAAAATCTATCTAAATTCATGTGAAATCTGACACAAACCCTTTTCAAAATTTATTTTGGGAAATCTCGAAAATTCAACAGTAGTTCATTTTTCTTCTTTCTTCAGATTATTTCCAAAATATAAAATATGATCAGTAGTCAGTACTGACATATAATGGCAGAGTACTAAAGCCAAAAGAAGTGAGAAAGAAATAGAACAATTAACCTTTGGGGGTCTCATTGTAGGCCGCGATTCACCAGATCTCCATTCCTCATTTCTCTCCTCCTCCTCCTCCTAATAATAATAATAATAATAATAATAATAATAATAATAATAATAATAATAATAATAATACACTTCACTTTTATTTCACTCTAATTCAAAGAATTTTAACAAATAAGTAAATATGAAAAAAAGAAAAAAGAAAAAAGGTAGAAATGAAATTTACCTGTCTATTGTACCCATGTCTATTGTGACGATCACTGCTGGAGATGGACTCATCATGATCATCATGTTCTCCAGACACAACCTGCGCATTTTATTGCACACCATTAAATCCTAATGGAAAAACGACGTTCATTCAGATGAAGAAGACCAGTGGAGTCAGTCCTAACCTGAGCCCATGTGGATCTTGACCGTTCATCGCGATTCCTGTCATCTTCTTCTCCTTGACCGAACGCCACATTGATTAAACCCTTCACCAGATCGTCCATTTCAGTGTATATAAATTTGTATATGTGCGATTTACAGAGAGGGCGAGCGTGGAACTGAGAAGGCGTTGAAAATTATTTATAGTGGCACTGGAATTGGATAAAGATAAGATAGATGGCAGGTAATGGCAGTTACGTGATTTTTGTAAAATTGATCACTCGTAAGTTGCTGCCGACAATAGAAGTGAGTGAATACAGTGTTTACGCGTGGTGCTCGTAATTGTGTCTGTGTTTTTCATGGAAAAATTGCACATTTTGTCACCAAGTTCTAAAATATGTGGCAAGGGAGTCCTCAACCTTTAAAGTTTTTTTGGTCTCTATAATTTCAAAACTAATACTCTTATATCAAAATAGCGTATAGTTCATAGTTTAATGAAAAATGTACATCGCATCTGAATTGTCTAGTTTGCTCTTATGCAGAAAATGTTCACACTCACTAAAGGAGCCAACACTCGGCAAGCAAGGCGGCCACTCGCACTGACTCCGTTAAATTTTAATTTTTGGACAAATTGCTCGCCATCCGCTCGAGCCACAAATGAGTGGTTTGCAAGATTTTGTAATTGAACAAGGAACACAGCACAATGCTTAAATAAGGCATTTTCATCATTGATTCATTGTGGACCTTAACCCTTTTTCAATCGGGACTTGCCTAAGCTGCCTAATCTATCCCAATCCCAAATGGCTAAAGGGAAAGATTCATAGTTAAGAGGTTAAATATCACTTATTTCAAAAATAAGAACAAAGGCATCAAATTTTAAAAATAAGATATTTATTAAAATATATATTAAGGTCACAGATCTATATTGGTCACAAGTTAACGATTTAGTTAGTCACATTATTTTTTGATCAAAAATCAAATTTTTTATATGTCAGGAATTATTTTACGGTTATAATTCAAACATTTTATAAGTCAAAATTTGTTCATCGATCACAAATCAAAAATTTATAAATCACAATTTATTTATCGATCATAAATCATAAATATTAAAAGTCATAACTTATCAAATTATCAATCACGTGTTAACAATTTTTTAGGTTACACGTTAGTTATTGTTCACAATTTATCTTTTTCATTGATTACATATTGTTTTATTGGTCACAGTTTAATCAATTTAATGGTCACATTCAACCAAATAATTTGTGACCACCACCAATACTTGCGACCACGATCTCACCACTACCTCCAGCAGCAGAACCACCGTCGTCCCCAAAACCATCACCACCACCTCCCAACAGCAACTCCGCCACCTTAAACAAATCAACAGATCATAGAAAAACACCATCACATCGTCGCACTAGATCCACCATCACTCCGACAGACCTATCGCAACCAACATCTCACCATCACGCAACCACTGCCACAACCACCACCACCAACGATCCCGCCACCAAAAAAAATATCACAGTCGCCGCCACCACCACTCCAACAACTAAAACAAATGCCTCACCGTCATCAATCACCTGTACCACCACTACACTGCAACCTACCACCGTACTGCAACCCTCTAGATCCATCACCATCACCACAACCATGCAGATCTGCTAGATCCACCACCACACCACAATTAACCACCGCACCTGACCGCCATATCACCATTATCACCACAACTACGCAGATTCGCCACCACTATGCAAACACCACAAAAAAAAATTAATTCCAAAATTATCACTGCCACCACCACGGCCATACCAACACCACTGTCGAGAAGGGATAAGAGAGAGAGAGAGAGAGAGAGGTGGTGGTTGCATAGTGTAGAAGCTAGAGAAATAAAATGAAATTAGGCTATTACTTTGTGATGATCTAGCACCATGAGTCTAGCCCATTTAAGAAACGAGCTATGGAAGTTTAACCCATTTATGATTATGAAAGTCCAAACCATAAGTTAATTAAAAGTTCAACAATTTAAGAGATTAAGTTTAAGTAAATTTGACTACAAAGATTTAATGAATAATTAAATTGTCTTAATGGTCATCTACATAGTATTTCATATAGACAACACATGTTCGAATCAACATGTAGATATTTTTATAACACTTTTTATATAAATTATTTTTTATGACTTAGAAACTCTTCAAATTCTTAGTTAAAGATCAAATTTAACAAATTTAAGGATAATACAACTCTCTCATTTAGTTTTTCATTAAAAATGAATGTTACAAGAAGAGGAAGGTTACTTTTTCATTACCCCCCTCCTCAAATCTGAATTTACTCTTATTTTCTCTCAAAAAATATACTTCATGTCAAGTAAAGTTTAAGGGAATATCAAGGGTAAGAAGAAGAAATGTTTTCTACACATTTTGTTTTTTTATATCCAAGAAAATTCAAGATATGTAGAGGTGCAAGTGTTTATTTAGTTTTCAAATTATGATTTTTCGATAAATGTTTGAATGAAATAGTACCTCCGGGTACGGTTTCTCGACATTACAATAGTTTGAATGATCATTCTCTAACTCCACGTGTTATGATAATGCTATAATAATTGAATTTTGCCGAAATCAATCTACGTGCGACGATATGAATCTAGAGTTCGAAATTTCTAATTTGATAACGAAATGCACCGATTATATTTATTGAGTTTCAAACTCATGGGTTAATTCCCTTTCTATATGTTGAATGGATTTCCTTGGGGCGTGAATCATGGTAGAGGATGATGCAACATGCCATGGAGAAAGTCGGCGATTTAATAATTTTAATTCGATCATGAAATGTTTACATTTGTTTCTTTTTATATGGATTTCTATGGACGTCATATGTGGAACTATTCTAGGAATATTTCTTCAAGAATAAGTTATGTTTGAAAGTAGATATGTGTTATAGAAGTTAATTAACAAAACACCATTTACAAAAAGAAAGGAAAAAAAAAGTACACCAAATTAAAATATTGTTGTCTTATAAAAATTTTAGTTTCTGTCTTGACTTTAAGAATTTATAGCTCACTCGTTACTTGAAATTTTTTAGACAAAACCAATGGCGTTGGATAACCACATAGGTTAGTTATTGAATAAACTTGGAATCATGTCAATCTGATGTCGGTAAAATTTTATATGTCACTTAAGGTAAATTACACTGGCTAGTGTTGCTGTTTTTCTAACTTTTGCCTTGAATTCAAAAAATTCATAACTCAATCGTTACTTAGAATTTCTAGATGAAACCAATTGAATTTGATAGTCTCATGGATTAGCTACTGAATAAAATTTGAAATCATGTGATTTTGATATTTGTAGAATTTTATAGGTCATTTTAAGTGAACTGCACATGTTTATCTTTCAACCGGGTCGCTTTTGGGTTTTAAAAAATATTTTAATACCTCATATGACATCGAATGAAGCTAATTTTTGACTATGTCATATTATAAGGAGTTTTCTACTTTACAATTAAAATTGATGAAGTTTCGAGGTCGATAGCTATGCAAACAAATTTATTTTGACACTTACCCTACGAGATAGAAAAAGAAAACAGCTTGTTTAGTTAGTGTTAGTGGGATTTTTGGAAATATTTTAACGCTTCTTATGTCACTGACAGAAGCCAAATTTTGGATATGTTATATTATAAAATGTTCTCTACGTTTTCTCAAAATTTTATGAAATTTTGACATTGATAATTATGCAAACAAGTTTACTTTAAAACTTACCATACAAAAATGAGAAATCAAAACAGATTACTTTCTCTCTCTCTTACTTCCTAAAATAGTTCACACATGAAAAACTATCATATCTTTTATTTGTTTGGTAGACATGTACTTGCCACTATTCACGTAATAAAATAGGCATATGCATGGATTTGCTCAACTCTTTCCTTCTTTAATAAATGCCTTTGGAATTATGTTAATATTATGTTACTATCGAAAAGTAGATTTTAATAGAAAATTCGTTGGTAGTTATTTTTAAAATATTATATATATGTATAGTTTTTAAGGAAATTTTTTAGCTTAAATTCTTAAATTAAATTATTATTTTAAAAAATTTCTAGGTCTAAAGCTAAGGTACAATTGTTTGTGATGCTTTGGTACACGTGAAACTTTTTGCCAAAACTTTAAAAATAATGTTGTTGTTTTAGTTTTTATCTCAAATGAAAATTGACAAAATAAATTCGTTTGCATAATTATCGACCTCGAAACTTCGTGAAATTTTAGTGTAAAGTAGAAAACTCCTTATAATATGAAATATTCTAAAATCGGCTTCCGTCGACAACATATAGGGTCTGAAAATATTTTTCAAATCCTCACAGCGACTGGGGTTGGAAAGTAACCCAGTGCAGCATACTTTAAGTGTCATATGAAATTACACACATCAAATTGACATGATTTCAACTATATTCAGTAGCTAACCCTTGAGACTATCAAACTCAATTCGTTTCGTCCAAAAATCTCAAGTAACAAGTGAGTTATGAATTTTTGAAACCAAGGGCAAAAGCTGAAAAAGGCGACACTACCCAGTGCAATTTACTTTATGTGACAAATAAATTATACCGATATCGGATTGACATGATTCTAAGTTCATTCAACAGCTAACTTATAAGGCTATCCAACGTCACTGGCTTTGTGTAAAAATGTCAAGTTACGAAAGAGTTATAAATTTTTAAAATCAAGACAGAAACTGAAATTTTTGAAGAGACAGTAAAACTTTAAATCGCTAATATTTTTTTTTTTTGTAAACGGTGATTTGTAAATTTATTTCTATAATACATAACTACTTTCAAACATAATTTATTCATAAAGAAATATTCCTAAAATAGATCCACTTATGAAGTCCATAGAAATCCATATAAAAATAAATAAACGTAAACATTTCATGATCGAATTAAAATTATTAAATCACAGCTTTCTTCATAGCATGTTGTATCATCCTCTACCATCATTCACGCCCCAAAGAAATCCATTCAACCTGTAGGAAGGGAATTAACCCATGAGTTTGAAACTCAATAGATATCATCGGTGCATTTCGTTATTAAATTAGAAATTTCGAACTATAGATTCATACCGTCACATGTAGATGGATTTTCGGTAAAATCCAATTACTATATCATTATCATGATAGTAGAGCCGGAGAATGATTATTTAAACTGTTATAGTGTTGAAGCACCGTATCCAGAGGTACCATTTCATTCAAACAT